CCAATGTCACCCACGTGTGGTGACCCCCAGGAGACCCCTCCCATCGTTCAGGAGCGAATCAGGCCACGCCCCCATCCTGCGGGAGCGAATCAGACGTCGCCCTCAGGCCCGCTGTAAACACATCGAGAAACCGTGATTCTCCAAAAGGTACACCATGCGTTTTGCAACTTCAAGTCCGTATAATCAAACAGTTAACTTAATCCGAGGGCCCCCTTGGAGGCCGACTCGGTACTAGCTACAGTCTCCTATTTAACAAGGGTCTTACAGCAAGCATCAAGGTGTAGAAATGGAATACAAATTGGCCTTCGTTAAACGCACCCTCGGGACTAGGATACCCTATTCAGTCAGCTTCAATACTCGTAGTGAGTAGGACACTGATAAGAAATTTTACCTGATGCAATTCTCAATATAAGAACAATTTCTCGTACTATAGTAATGGAAGACGCTTTGACAAATTCGAAATCTCCTTGTTACATTTATCAAATCATTTAAATCCACTAGGGTTACAATGTACGTATAATAGTGATGTTATACTATACATATGATCTGTAATGTTATATTATGCAACCGCCATAAGCTTCTCAACATGTGCGACCGGATGATTGTGTGTAAGAAATGAGGAATAAATGATGAACTAGGAAATGAGTTGGGTACAAATATGAAACCCTAGAAAGTTGTACCCCATACTGTCTACCCCACTTCAACATAGAAAGACTATAGCATATAAGTTTGACACACCCCCATAGGAAAAGTGGGGGAGAACAAGGGGTCATAAGACCAGTCAAGCAAAGCACAGCAAGCTTAGGGTGGATCACAACGTCACCACACATTCTGAGCACAAGTTCAAGGGCCATAAGGTCAGCTCACATGCAGAGCTATATATATATATATATATATATAAAGTTAAACATGCAAGTGCAAGTATATATAGGTCAAAGTACAAGCAAGGTCAAGAAGTGAGCAAGTGAGACAAAGTAGGTACAAGACCTAACAGAGTACAGAAGCGTTGATGATCACAAGGCGCGAGTGCCTTGGTGAAGATATCAGCAGTGTTGGCCTGAGAGGCCACGTAAGCAAGTCTCACCTGACCACGCTGCTGCAGCTCACGAGCAAGGAAGTAGCGAAGAGCAATGTGCTTCGTTCTGTGCTCAAGTCTGTGCTCACGACACAAGGCAAGCATGGCCTCGTTGTCTACGTACAGAACTGGAGGAGAACGAGGCGGCTCTCCGAGGTCAGTCAGCACGTAGATGAGTCAGCGTAACTCCTGTGAAGCCATGGCCCCTGCGTAGATCTCAGCCTCACAGCTGGAGCTGAGAACAGAAGAAGAGCGTGTAGACCACCACGAAACAGAACCGAAACCAAGGCTGAAGGTGTAACCCTATGACGACCGCTGCGTAGCCAAGTCGTCAACCTAAGACGCGTCTGCGTGACCAGTGAGGACCACTGGACTCCGCTCTCCAAGCACTAGCCCCATGCCCGACGTACTGCACAAGTAGCGCAACACCCTCTTCGTTGCATCCATGTGCTCAGGGAGGTGTCTCCCAGGAGCAACATAGCGAGCCAGAATGCTAAGAGGGTATGCAAGGTCAGGTTGTATGCAGGTCATCAGGTACATGAGGCAGCCAACAAGCTCTGGGTACGGGCCACTCGGCTCTACGGACTCATCCGAAGGTAGAGCTGAGAGCGAGTGGCGAGTAGACAAAGGAGTGGCCTGTGGCGAGGAGTACGTGAAGTCGAAGCGCTGAAGGACCTGCTGCACCATGTGTGACTGAGTCAGGGTAATGGTGCGCTGTGCTCTGTCTCGGGTGATCTGCAAGCCAAGGTAGCTGCGCAGTTCACCCTGGTCTGTGCACGTGTGTCTCTTCTGCAGCTCGGACTTCACATGGGCGAGTCCAGCAGTGTCACCTGTGGCAAAGACCAAGTCGTCAACGTACACGAGGATGTAGAAGGGCGGCAAAGAGGTGTCTATGCGCAGAAACAGCGAGGGGTCGGCAGTAGAAGGAGCAAACCCAAGAGCCGATAGTATAGTCCTCACTGTGTCGTGCCACTCTCGAGGTGCCTGGCGGAGACCGTAGACTGGCCGCCGGAGGCTCCACTAGGTGCCAGGAGGAAAAGACCTAGTGAAGCCAGGTGGGCGACGCAGCCAGATCTCCTCGTGCAGGCTACCCTGTAGGAAAGCAGTGCTGAAGTCAAGAGAGTGAAGCTCGTAGTCGCGCTGAGCGGCTATGTGCAGTAGTACCCGAAGAGTGATCATCTTCGGGGTGGGAGAGAAGGTCTGAAAGTAGTCATTTCCCTTGCGCTGTCTGAAGCCTCGAGCCACGTAACGCGCCTTGAAGACAGGCGAAGAACCCGGCGGCCGCTTCACCCTGAAAATCCACATGCCACTGACGATGTTCGCCCCAAGTGGGGGAACCTCGTCGAGGTAGGTGCCTGTGGAATTCCAGGAAGCCATCTCTGCGTCCATGGCTGTCTGCCACTGAGAGGAGTAGGGACCCTCTATCGCCTCCGCGTAAGAGTGCGGAGTCGGGATGTCTGGTGCATCCGGGTCTCCTTCAGGGGCGAGCAGCATGGACACGAGATGAGGTGAAGCAACAGCAAAGCACTGGAACTCCTCCTGCCTGTCCTCAAGGACGTCCGTGCCAAGGGCACACTCACCCCCGAAGGATGGAGGACAGACAGACTCAGACTCAGCGACAAGACTAGCAGCGTAGTCTAGACGACAGCGAGCAGCAAAGTCGACAAGCTCAGCAACTAAGGCAGACGCAGCAGTGGACTCGAAGGAAGGGTCAGTGACGATAGTAGCAAGGAGACGCATAACAGTAGGACTGGCAGCACGAGCAGGAAGAGAGGACTCAGGAGGAGAAGGCAAAGGGGCACGCAGCGGAGCAGTGGAATGACGCAGAGACATCCGGTGCGTGCCGGGGACAGGGGGAGGACGCGGACGCGAACCACGACCACTAGGGCGAGCAGCACGGACAGGCGACGCAGGACGAGACGCAGGCTCACGACGCTCAGCAAGACCTCCAGTGTAGGGAGAAGGAGCAGGCAGTGGGGAGGCTGGCTGTAACTGTGACTCAGACTTGACAGGCGGTGGACACTCTAAAAGAGGAGCAGGACTAGTAGAGGGCGGAAGACCAAGAACCTGCTCAAGGAGCGGAGCAAAGTACGGCCGTGGCCGTGCAGCACCCCCAGAACCAGCAGGAACAGCACCAGCACCCCTGACGGCAGCACCAGCTCTAGTAGCACCACCAGCTCCAGCAGCGCCAGCAGCTCCAGCACCAGCACCCCCAACAGCAGCACCAGGTCCAGTAGCATCCCCAGCTCCAGCCGCGCCAGCAGCTCCAGCTCCAGCAGCACCAACACCCGCCCCCTCAGAAGCACCAGCACCAGTAGCACCTGCAGCGCCAACACCCCTAGCAGCTCCAGCTACAGCTCCAGCACCTCTAGCAGCTCCAGCACAAGGAGTACCCGCAGGCCCAGCAGCTCCAGCACCTCCAGTACCTCCAGTACGAGCACCTCCGGGACCCGTGGCACCAGCACACTCAGTAGCAGTAGAACCTCTAGCACCAGCAGCACCTCCAGCTCCAGCAGTACGGCTCGAATGCCGAGCAAACCACTCGCGCAGCTCCTGTGGAGAGAGTAACTCTCGCTAGGATGAAGCACCCGAAGGACCTCCAGGCCCAGTCCCTCCAGATGCCACAAGCGCAGGCTCAGCACCCCCAAGCTCCACACCCCTAGGCTCAGCACCCCCAAGCTCAGCAACCCCAGGCTCAGCACCCCCAGACTCAGCATCCTCAGACTCAGCAACCCCAGTCTCAGCGCCCCCAGAGTCAGCGCCCCCAGGCTCAGCACCCCCAGGCCCCGCACCCGCAGGCTCAGCACCCCTAGCAGCACCAGAGTCAACAGCTACCTCGACAGGCTCGAATGCGTCTACCTGGGACACACCTGAGGGGGCAGGACCCTGAGGGGGGAGGGGGTCTACCGGGGGGGGACCTGGCGCGAGGAAGAGCGGCGGCGGGGGGAGGGACGCATTGCGGTAGGGGAAGAGACGGTAGTAGGGAACTGGCTCGTCAAATGTGACGTCCTGAGAGGACAGAACACGTGCGAGGTGGGGTGGTAAAACTGCCAACCAGGCGTGTCAGGGGGGAAGCCAAGGAAGACGCAGGGAACAGCACGGGGGGACAGCTTGTTCGCAGACAAGTCGCGGACAAACGCCTGAGATCCCCAAACACGGAACGCAGACGCATCGCCTACCTTCCCCGTCCACAGCAAAGCTGGGGAGGTCTCCGGCATGGAGACCCTGGGGTGAAGGTTGATCTGATGCGCCGCGTACCGAACCGCAAACGGCCACAGAAAATGGGGGGCAGCCGCATGCATCATGGACGTACGAGCGACGTCCATGACCATGCCAATGCGGCGCTCAGCAATCCCATTTTACTGTGGAGAGGCCGGAAGCGTGAACGTCTGGCGGATGCCTCGTGCACGACAGAAGGCTCGCAGAAGGTCAGAGGAGAACTCTCTGCCTCTGTCGGAGTGCAGACGCAGAACAGGAAAGTCAGAGCCAAAACTCTCTCTGAGCCGGAGACGAGCAGCGTGGATCCGGTCGATCAACACCCCAGTGACCTCACCCTTGCTGCGCAAGGGGAAGACTGTGGTGCGGTCTCGAAAGAAGGAGCGGGAAGCACCCGAGTCAAGGGTGAAGGTGTCGGAGGCCTGAGCCGACGTGGTACCTGAGAGAGCAGAGTCACCAGCACCTGAGGCAGCAGACTCACTAGCACCTAGAGCAGCAGCCTCACCAGCACCTAAAGCAGCAGCCTCACCAATGCGCGGGTCAGGCAGAACACACAGGTAACAGTCACCCTCATCACTAGTAGACACAACAGACATGGCAGCAAGAATAGCATCCTAGTCAAGATCAAAGATAGCAACCCCCGCCCTAGATAGCTCGCCCCAGCGAGGGATCTCCGTGGCGTCAGGGAACTGAAGACGCCAAGCGTCCGTCAGGCGGCCGAAGCAGCGCTGGGTGGAGTGCGGGCCTCCGCACTGCTCACCAGTGCGGTCACCGGTACGAAGGACGTAGGTACAGGGACCAGCACCCCAGCCCCGCTGACGCCCAGCGTACCACTCACGAAGCTGCTGGGGGGACGGGGTCTCACGGGTGCGCTGCTGCTGCTAGCGCTGACCACCACCGGAGCCATCCCTCTGTGCAGAGCCGCGACCAGCTCCACCGCCGCCGCCGCCACCTCCGCCGCCTCCGCCACCTCCGCTCCCACCGCAACCGACGCCACCACCCCCGCCACCACTCCCACCACCACCCCCAGCCCCTCCACCGCCTCCACCGCCACCTCCACCGTCCCCGCCAGCTCCTCCAGCACCCTTGCCCCCCTTGCCTTAGCCGGTGCGGCGTCTCCCGCTAGGGGCAGACGCAGCTCCGACCGACTCGAGGCCAACGAGGTCGGCCGCAGCAGCAGAGGCAACAGAGGGCAAGAGGGGGGAGGGGGAGCACCCCTCAAAGAAGGGGGTGCGAGGGTCACCACGAGAGGCTCCTACAGCGACTATACTCTTCTCTGCTGCCAAGAGGCGCTCCTCGAGGAGGTCAACGGTGAGTGTGGTGGGGCAAACAGAGAGGAAGTGGTCCCTGACCGAGCGAAGGGAGTCAGGGAGCCGGGTGACTATGTAGTAGAGGGTGATGTACATGGGGGGGGGGGGTTCTTAGCGCAGAACACAGCAGAAAGCGCAGCATGGTAGCGGGTGTCACTAGTGTGAAGGTGCGTAATGAGGTCAGCGACTGTGGGAAAGGTGGCGAGGTCAGGGAACAGGTACGGCAGCATGAGGCAGCTAAGGGCAGCAGTGGCAGGGGAAGAGTAGCATGCAACTACTGCATCGTACAAGGTCTTAGCACTCTTGTACTGACTAAAATGCGCACGCTCAGCGGTCGGTAAGTGGCGACACACAGCAAGACGGGCTGCAGCATCGCGTGTGGCCCACTGTGAGCAAACAGTGCTGTCAGCATCGGCACGAGGGGCAGGAGAGGCACCAGAGGTGAGATCGAACATGGAGAGTCCGTCTGTCCTATCGCACTGTAGGAAAAGTTGCAGGTCATCGACCCAGACCTCAAAGTCAACAGCTCGACCCTCAGCATCAAAGGTAAGGACACTGGGGGTAGCCATGATAGCAGCAGTCTAGCAGTGAGAGCAGTAGGCTAGGGGCAGTGGCAAAGGCGCTGCTCGGGAGTGCTCTCACCAGTCTGGGTGGGTAGGGCCGGGGCGTGCCGGCAGGAACAGGGCGGCTCGATAGCGGCAGCTACGGCTCGGCGGCGGCGGCGGCTCGACGGCGGCTGCGGCGGCTCGAAGGCGGCTCGGCGGCAGCAGCGGCTCGACAGCGGCGGCTGGACGGCGGCGTCCCGACAGCGGCGGCTCGACGGCGGCGGCGGCGGCTCAGCGGCTTGGCGGCTCGGCGGCGGCCGCAAGAGGGCAGCAGGAGGGCCGCTAGAGGGCGGCGAGGGGGCCGCGAGAGGGCGGCGACGGGGTCGCGAGAGGGCGGCGACGGGGCCGCGAGAGGGCGGCGACGGGGCCGCGAGAGGGCGGCGATGGGGCCGCAAGAGCGGCGGCGACGGGGCCGCTGCGGGCGGCGAAGGGGCCGCTGAGGGCGGCGACGGGGACGCTGAGGGCGGCGACGGGGCCGCTGAGGGCGGCGACGGGGCCGCGAGAGGGCGGCGACGGGGCCGCGAGAGGGCGGTGACGAGGAAGCGAGAGGGCGGCGACGAGGCTGCGAGAGGGCGGCGATGGGGCCGCAAGAGCAGCGAAGGGGCCGCTGGGGGCGGCGACGGGGCCGCTGAGGGCGGCGACGGGGCCGCTAGAAGGCGGCGACGGGGCCGCGAAGGGCGGCGACGCGGCCGCTAAGGGCGGCGGCGGGACCGCTAATGGCGGCGACGGGGCCGCGAGAGGGCGGCGACGGGGCCGTGTAGGGTGGGGCCGCGAGGGGCCGTTAAGGGCGGCGACGGGGCCGCGAGAGGGGCCGTGAGAGGGCGCGACAGGCCACTAAGGGGAGGACGGCACACAGGGCGCGCCTCGGTCAGGAGCGACTCTCTCTCCGGGCAGAAAATTTTAATCTATTTTCAATGGTGGGCCCTAGGAACAGTTCCCACTAGGGAACCGGCTCTGATACCATGTGAAGAAATGAGGAATGAATGATGAACTAGGAAATGAGTTGGGTACAAATATGAAACCCTAGAAAGCTATTCCCCATACTGTCTACCCCACTACAGCCTAGAAAGACTACAGCATATAAGTTTGACAGATTGGGCTATATGTCACAATCGGGTTCAACATTTCGTGGCAGGGTTCATGAGACCAGAGTCTCAAACTAATGGCACTTCTGTTTGTTCTTCCATCAGGTGCACTAGCTGAAGTTGACAACAGATCTACATTTGGCAGACACACAAGCCTACTATAATAGAAGAAACGGAAGCAGCATATGCAGTATTGTACCCTGCGCCCCTAAAGTCTGAGGGGCCGGCGCCGACACTTGAGCCTCAATCACTAGGCAGACGTACACGCAGGGTGCATAGGTGTTGAAAAATAAACGCCACGTGGTGATATGCACACATAGAGGAAAAAAAGCAAAAGGAACCAGGCGTGTCGCGAACGCACATGTATAGGCGGCGGAACTCAGAGCGGGCAGAGAGGAATGCTGCCGAGCGGAGCGACGTGGACCTGCGGCGAGAGGAAACCACATTGAATGAGCAACTCTTGACGACCGGCTGAAATGCGCCACGTGGCTAAATGACGGCAAGAGCACACTTACCGCGACGTTTTGCCGATGATGTTGCATCAGTGGCTTACCAATCAGGCCGTTCTTACTGTCCAGGTGGGCCTGCACGACAATCAGAAAAGTTGGTAACAGCTATTTGTTAGAGCGCGGCGCCATGGTTCCATAAAACGTGTGAAGTAACAGAATCACAAACGCACACACGAGCATGCAGCACACGCAGCACGTACCCTTGCGCGCTTGGCGTTGGGTCAGATTCCTCACGAACCGCCCTGATCGAAATTGAGTGTACGCGCTACGTTCCTTCAGCAAAGTATGGTTCCCGAGGAGGTGCGCCCGATGCTGGCATCAAGCAGGTGCCAAAACACAGCCGCGGTTAATCGAGCGTTTTTCTACCAGCGCCATCGTCTGCATACGCTGGCAGAGAACTGGTAGGAACCCTCGTGTCCGTACTGCTTACCCCTGAGGGAGACCCGGATGCACTTGACATCCCGACTCCGTCCTTACGCGGAGGCGATAGAGGGTCCCTACTCTTCTCAGTGGCAGGCAGCTATGGATCCATCGATGGCTTCCTGGAAGTCCACAGGCACCTACGTTGACGCTGTCCCCCCTCCTGGGGCGAACATCGTCAGTGGCATGTGGATTTTCAGGGTGAAGCGGCCGCCGGGTTCTCCGCCTGTCTTCAAGGCGCGTTACGTGGCTCGTGGCTTCAGTCAGCGGCAGGGAGTTGACTACTTTCAGACCTTCTCTCCCACCCCGAAGATGACCACTCTTCGGGTACTGCTGCACGTAGCTGCTCACCGTGACTACGAGCTACACTCTCTTGACTTCAGCACTGCTTTCTTGCAGGGCAGCCTGCACGAGGAGATCTGGCTGCGCCGCCCACTAGGCTTCACTGGGACTTTTCCTCCTGGCACCCAGTGGAGCCTTCGGCGGCCAGTCTACGGTCTCCGCCAGGCACCGCGTGAGTGGCACGACACACTGAGGACTACCCTTGCGGCTCTTGGGTTTGCTCCCTCTACTGCCGACCCGTCGCTGTTTCTACGCACCGACAGTTCTCTACCGCCGTTCTACATCCTCGTGTACATCGACGACTTGGTCTTTGCCACAGCGGACACTGCTGGACTCGCCTACATGAAGTCCGAGCTGCAGAAGAGACACATGTGCACAGACCTGGGTGAACTGCGCAGCTACCTTGGCTTGCAGATCACCCGGGACAGAGCACGCCGCACCATCACCCTGACTCAGTCACACATGGTGCAGCAGGTCCTTCAGCGCTTCGGCTTCACGTACTCCTCGCCTCAGGCCACTCCTCTGCCTACTCGCCACTCGCTCTAAGCTCTGCCTTTGGATGAGTCCGTAGAGTCGAGTGGCCCGTACCCAGAGCTTGTTGGCTACCTCATGTACCTGATGACCTGCACACGACCTGACCTTGCATACCCTCTTAGCATTCTCGCACGCTATGTTGCTCCTGGGAGACACCGACCAGAGCACATGGCTGCAGCGAAGAGGGTGTTGCGCTACTTGTGCAGTACGTCGGGCATGGGGCTTGTGCTTGGAGGGCGGAGTCCAGTGGTCCTCACTGGTCACGCAGACGCTTCTTGGGCTGACGACCAGGCTACGCAGCGGTCGTCACAGGGTTACACCTTCAGCCTTGGCTCCGGCTCTGTTTCGTGGCGGGCTACTCGCTCGTCTTCTGTTCTCGGCTCCAGTTGTGAGGCTGAGATCTACGCAGGGGCCATGGCTGCACAGGAGCTTCGCTAGCTCACCTACCTGCTGACCGACCTTGGAGAGCCGCCTCGTTCTGCTCCAGTCCTGTACGTAGACAACAAGGCCATGCTGGCCTTGTGTCGAGAGCAGAGACTGGAGCACAGAACAAAGCACATTGCTCTCCGCTACTTCCTTGCTCGTGAGCTACAACAGCGTGGTTAGTTGCGACTTGCGTACGTGGCCTCTGAGGCCAACACTGCTAATGTCTTCACCAAGGCACTCGCGCCTTGTAATCATCAGCCCTTTTGCACGCAGCTGGGTCTTGTGCCTGTCTTGCCTCACTTGCTCACCTCTTGACCTTGCTTGTACTGGTACATATATATATACCTGCTCTTGCTTGTATAACCTTATATATATATGTACTCCTGCATGTGAACTGGCCTTGTAGCCTTGAACTTGTGCTCGGAATGTGTGGTGACTTTGTGATCCACCCTGAGCTTGCTTTGCTTTGCTTTACTTGACTGGTCTTGTGACCCCTAGTTCTCCCCCACTTCGCCTATGGGGGTGTGTCAAACATTTTATATGTTGTGCTTGTTTAGGCTACAGTGGGTTAGGCTATAGGGGGTACACAATTCTAGGGTTAGGTACTTGTACCGCTTTCACTGTTTGTTCAATCATTCTTGTTCGTTCATTTCAACAATCTCCATCCCTCGTTTTGTATACACGTCGAAGGTGTCGTTGCATCCATGTCCATCTTCTTTATATCAAGATGTTCTGGGTCTCACTAGTATTTGTGCAACTACTTGGGCCTCAGATTCGTTTTGGCGTAGGCTGACTGGTCAACCTTAGGAGTGTGTTCATGGCTGATCAGTCAGTATTGTTGTTAAAAAAAAAAAAAACTGACCAAAATGTAGTGTGAGAATGACAATGACAAGGCCGCCATGGATATTGTCGCGCAGCTACAAACCTAGATCATGTGAAGGTTCCATGTCAGTTGGCTTTAAGGACTTCAGATTCGGATTCCTCGTTACAAGACGATCGATACGTCTATTATGCATACACGTCGGGCATTGTATCTTTCGGTAAACGAGAACCGATTTCTTGTCAGGCAACTAACTTCAAGGTTCCTTTTGATTTGCTGCTAACTCCAAGGCCTTGTTTTCGGTTTTTACGCAGCAAGTGGTTTAACAATGGCTACGACACCCTTATGAAGTCTATTACTGACCCTGATCCCGAAGCATCAACCTCGGTTTCTCACCAACAACATCAAGAACACTGGTCTAACGCTTCTGGATCTCAACTATTTAACACGACTGTGCTCAGAGATAAGGCATCAGTTTAGACATCTGCGGTCTGCTCTCAAGTTTTCCAGCCTTTTCCTGCTCATTATTGCACCATGGCTCCGAAGGGGAAGTCCAAGGTTGTGTCGGAAGCCTCGTCGCTGGACGCTCCCTCGTCTTCATTGGATGCGCCAGCCCCGTCGCCTGCTCCTGCTTCTTCTGACCCTTGTGGCAAAGGCAAGGGCAAGGCTACTGAGGATTCAGTCAATGTACCTCTTACTGATGCTCCAGCAAGTGGATCCGGTCTCTCCTTGGAGGAGAAGTTGAGCTCTCTTCGTACAACGACTCCTGACAGCGGTTTCCTTGAAGATGATTATGACGAGGAGCTCGAGGTCGAAGTCAAGACGGAAGCGTTCAACCGTGTTTGCTACACTGCGATTCTGCTGATACCTGTAGCTCTCGCCCTGGAGGTCGCTTCCGTTATCACCACGGCGCAGACCCTGATGCGGCGTGTCTCGTCGTCTACGCTCTCTGTTGGCGCCGTTGACTCGGCGAAGTTCCAGGAGCTACTGCCGGCGTACGTGGCGAAGACCCGTTACAGTCGCCTGCAGGTCTCTCTCCTGCGCGAAGAAGATATTATGAGCATCAGATCCAAGGAGGTGGATTACACGCGTCCTAACGGCATGGTCTTCCGTCTCTACTGGCAACACACTGACGGTCCTGCCTTTGTGCGTGAACGCGCGAAGAACAAGCAAGCGATTGAGGTTGTGATCCGTGACGTACCTGCGACGAAGACCCCGGAGATGCTGCGGGAGCTGATGGTGATCTACCAGCTGCGAAATCGGCGGCAGTCGGCCTTCAAGGACGGAGTCTGCTTCCACAGCGTTCTGCATCCCGTCACTGGAGCTGATACCGATGTCGTCAAGGGACTTGTGATCCCTCATCCTGGCGACAGATACCGCTGGCGCCATGTGTTCGAGGATCCCTCGGAGATCGGTCGTCGCTTCTTGGTCCACTTCCCTGCGCTATCTTGCCTGCTCTGCGGTGGACAACATTATGACGTCAATCATGGTGCTTTCACTTCGGAGCGGCAAAACAACATAGGGAAGTGGAAGCTTACCTTGGGGAGGGTTCACCGTATCAATGGTAACTGCTCTACTTTGCATGTTCCTACCTGCCATCATGGTTGTCTTTGTGCTAACTGTCAAGTCGTACCGTGCAGCTGCGTCCCTTCCGGCCTCACCGCTGATAACCCCCATTTTGCTGGATCCGGCCATGGTGTTGATCTCCACTAAGGAATCGGGAGGAGTGGATCTGCACGCAAGTGGGCTGTGGGAAGGCGAAGGGGAAAAGCTTCATGACTGCGGCGGATCACGTCACCTCTGCAAATCACCTCATTCACCTGGAGAAGCTCGGATATGCGACACGTGTCTCACTCAAAAGAGCAAGCCTCAATGTCACGAAGGAGGAGTATGGGCTCTAAGGGAAGAGCAGCTCGGTCAGCAAGCAGCAGCAGCAGCAGTAGTCCTTGCAGTAGTTGGTGCCGTTCTATTCTTTACCCTGTAGATGCGTAGGGGTTCTCAAGCTGTTATCAAATGAGTAAAAAAAGCCTCATCATTTTCGCGGGACTTAACGTCAACGGCCTAGGAGATAAGACTGAACAGCAGCGAGTCCTCAACTGGTCTAGACAAGCAGCACACATTATTGTCCTCTCTGACACTAGGATAGCATCCGATCACCCACTATGGTCCCATCCGACTTACAGTTTAGCAGCAGTAGCCTCACCTAGGACGAAGTCTGGCGGTGTGGCTCTGCTCTGCCGCTCGCCTTTACTTAGATTCTCCAGCGTATTAATCCATCCGTCTGGTAGATTAGTGTCCGCGGAGGTCCATGGCCTTGGGTTGCAGCTTACCATCATAGCCTGCTACCTTCCAGCCAGCGAGTCCTCTCGTGCGACCTTTCTCCGTGACTCCCTTGGCCCAGTGGTAGACTTGATCCCGCCGTCCAACCACCTGCTTATCATAGGCGATCTCAATATCATAGAAGACCCGATATTAGATAAGTCATCACGCATAGGTTCTACAGCGGAAAATGATAGACTTCTCACCCGCTGCACTACTTTTCAGCTCTCAGATGCTTTCCGCACGCTATATCCAAGAAAACGAGAGTTCACCTTTTTCTCTCAGGCGAAGTAGGCTAGCGCGCGCATTGACCGAGCTCTTATCTCTCACTCACTCCTACCTCACCTGATCCAGGCCTCTCACGTGATGCTAGTAGAGCACATATCATACCAAAGTTTTGCGATTCGGGTGGCTCTCCGGATTGAAGCCAAGATCTGCATTGGCCCCGGCCTCTGGAGGCTTCAAGCGTCAATGGTCCACAAGCAAGGGGTTCGGCGCATTGTGGAGGCAACGGTGGCGAATGTAAAAATTAGAACAAGAATGGTTGAACTATGAAAGAGTTGGGTACAAGTACTAACCCTAATTGGGTTGTACCCCTTATGGGCTACCCCACTAAAGCATACACAAATGTATAAGCTATATAATGTTCTGACACACCCCCATAGGCAAAGTGGGGGAGAACAAGGGGTCACAAGACCAGTCAAGCAAAGCAAAGCAAAGCAAGCTCAGGGTGGATCACAAAGTCACCACACATTCCGAGCACAAGTTCAAGGCCACAAGGCCAGTTCACATGCAGGAGTACATATATATAAAAGGCTAGACAAATAAGAGCAGGAGCATATATATATATATATATATGTAATAGTACAAGCAAGGTCAAAAGGTGAGCAGGTGAGGCAAGGAAGGCACAAGACCAAGCTGAGTACAGAAGAGCTGATGATCACAAGGCGCAAGTGCCTTGGTGAAGATATCAGCAGTGTTGGCCTCAGAGGCCACGTACGCAAGTCGCACCTGGCCACGCTGCTGTAGCTCACGAGCAAGGAAGTAGCGGAGAGCAATGTGCTTTGTTCTGTGCTCCAGTCTCTGCTCTCGACACAAGGCCAGCATGGCCTTGTTATCTACGTACAGAACTGGAGGAGAACGAGGCGGCTCTCCGAGGTCGGTCAGCAGGTAGGTGAGCCAGCGAAGCTCCTGTGCAGCCATGGCTCTTGCGTAGATCTCAGCCTCACAACTGGAGCCGAGAACAGAAGACGAGCGGGTAGCCCACCACGAGACAGAGCCGGAACCAAGGCTGAAGGTGTAACCCTTTGACGACCGCTGCGTAGCCTGGTCGTCAGCCCAAGAAGCGTCTGCGTGCCCAGTGAGGACCACTGGACTCCGCCCTCCAAGCACAAGCCCCATGCCCGACGTACTGCACAAGTAGCGCAACACCCTCTTCGCTGCAGCCATGTGCTCCGGTCTGTGTCTCCCAGGAGCAACATAGCGTGCGAGAATGCTAAGAGGGTATGCAAGGTCAGGTTGTGTGCAGGTCATCAGGTACTTGAGGCAGCCAACAAGCTCTAGGTATGGGCCACTCGACTCTACAGACTCATCCAAAGGCAGAGTTGAGAGCAAGTGGCAAGTAAGCAGAGGAGTGGCCTGAGGCGAGGAGTACGTGAAGCCGAAGCGCTGAAGGACCTGCTGCACCATGTGTGACTGAGTCAGGGTAATGGTGTGGCGTGCTCTGTCCCGGGTGATCTGCAAGCCAAGGTAGCTGCGCAGTTCACCCAGGTCTGTGCACGTGTGTCTCTTCTGCATCTCGGACTTTACGTAGGCGAGTCCAGCAGTGTTAGATGTGGCAAAGACCAAGTCGTCGACGTACACGAGGATGTAGAACGACGGCAGAGAGGTCTCAGTGCACAGAAATAGCGACGGGTCGGCAGTAGAAGGAGCAAACCCAAGAGCCGCAAGCGTAGTCCTCAGTGTGTTGTGCCACTCACGCGGTGCCTGGCGGAGACCGTAGACTGGCCGCCGGAAGCTCCACTGGGTGCCAGGAGGAAAAGACCCAGTGAAGCCAGGTGGGCGGCGCAGCCAGATCTCCTGGTGTAGACTGCCCTGCAAGAAAGCAGTGCTGAAGTCAAGAGAGTGCAGCTCGTAGTCACGGTGAGCAGCTACGTGCAGCAGTACCCGAAGAGTGGTCATCTTCGGGGTGGGAGAGAAGGTCTGAAAGTAGTCAACTCCCTGCCGCTGACTGAAGCCATGAGCCACGTAACGCGCCTTGAAGACAGGCGGAGAACCCGGCGGCCACATCACCCTGAAAATCCACATGCCACTGACGATGTTCGCCCCAGGAGGGGGGACAGCGTCAACGTAGGTGCCTGTGGACTTCCAAGAAGCCATCTCTGCATCCATAGCTGCCTGCCACTGAGAGGAGTAGGGACCCTCTATCGCCTCCGCGTAAGAGCGCGGAGTCGGGATGTCAAGTGCATCCGGGTCTCCCTCAGGGGTAAGCAGTACGGACACGAGATGAGGTGAAGCAGCTGCCACACACTGGAACTCCTCTTGCCTGTCCTCAAGGACGTCCGTGCCAAGGGCACACTCACCCCCGACGGACGGAGGACAGATAGACTCAGACTCAGCGACAAGACTAGCAGCGTAGTCTAAGCGACAGCGAGCAGCAAAGTCGACGAGCTCAGCAACTAGGGCAGACGCAGCATTGGACTCTAAGAAAGGGTCAGTGACGACAGTAGCAAGGAGACGCGTGACAATAGGACTGGCAGCATGAAGAGAGTCCGACTCCGGGTCGGCAAGAGCAGGAAGAGAGGACTCAGGAGGAGAAGGCAAAGGGGCACGCTGAGGAGCAGTGGACAGACGCAGAGACATCCGGTGCGTGCCAGGGACAGGAGGAGGACGCGGACGCGAACCACGACCACTAGTGCGAGCAGGACGGACAGGCGACGCAGGGCGAGACGCAGGCTCACGACGCTCAGCAAGACCCCAAGTAGGACCAGTGTAGGGAGAAGGAGCAGGCAAAGGGGAGGCCGGCTGTAACTGTAACTGTGACGGGATAGGCTGTGGACACTCTAAGGGAGGAGGAGGACCAGTAGAAGGCGGAAGACCAAGAACCTGCTGAAGGAGCGGAACGAAGTACGGTCGAGGCCGCGCGGCGACTCTAGACACAGCAGGGTCAGCACCAATACCCCCAGCAGGAGCACCAGCGCCAGCAGCACCTCCAACTCCAGTACCCCCAGCAGCTCCAGTAGCTCCAGGACCTCCAGCAGCAACAGTAGCACCCCCAGCAGGACCGCCAGCAGTAGCCTCAGCGCCAACACCCTCAGTAGCTCCAGCTCCAGTCGTACCAGCAGGCCCAGCAGCTCCAGTACTCCAAGTACGAGCACCTCCGGGACCCGCGACACCAGCAACCTCAGTAGCCGAAGAACCTCCAGCTCCAGCAGCACGCCTCCAGCACCGGGCAAACCACTCGCGCAGCTCCTGTGGAGAGAGTAGCTCCCGCCGAGACGAAGCACCCGGAGAACCTCCAGGCATAGTACCGCCAGACGCGACACGAGCAGGCCTAGCTCCCGCAGGCTCCGCACCCCCAGGCTCCGCGCCCCCAGGCTCAGCACCCCCAGTCGTAGCACCCCCAGGCTCAGCACCCCCAGGCGTAGCACCCCCAGGCTCAGCACCCCCAGGTGTAGCACCCCCAGGCTCAGCACTCCTAGTCGCAGCACCCCCAAGCTCCGCACCCCCAGGCTCAACACCCCCAGTAGCAGTACCCTCAGGCTCAGCAAGACCCTGGGATGAAGGTTGATCTGATGCACCGCGTACCGAACCGCAAACGGCCACAGAAAATGGGGGGCAGCCGCATGCATCATGGACGTACGAGCGACGTCCATGACCATGCCAATGCAGCGCTCAGCAATCCCATTTTGTTGTGGAGAGTCCGGAAGCATGAAGGTCTCGCGGATGCCTCGTGCACGACAGTAGGCTCGCAGGAGGCCAGAGGAGAACTCTCCGCCTCTGTCAGAGTGCAGACGCAGAACCGGAATCTCCGAGCCGAAGCTCTGCCTCAGCTGGAGACGAGCTGCGCGGATCCAGTCGATCAACACCTCAGTGACATCACCTTTGCTGCGCAAGGGGAAGACTGTGGTGTAACGCGAGTAGTCGTCAACCACCAACAGGAAGTAGCGCTCGTGACCCTGCCCACGGACGCAGGCTGGGCCCCACACGTCCATGTGAAGAGTCTGCAGCGGGGCCTCTGTCGGAGGAAACTGGGAGGAGTGAGGGGCAGCATGCTGCCGCCCCTCAATGCAGGGGACGCAGGCAGGGGCAGGCCCCGGGGGAAGGGGAGGGAGGGACCGGGGAAGACCAGAGACAAGGACACGGGACGCCATGCCTCGGAGACAAGGCAGAGAAGGGTGACCAAGGCGGTGGTGCCAAAGGAGAGTCTCGTGAGACAGGAGACGACACGAGCAGGGGGCGGACCCAGGGCCAGACCTGGACGCTGCAGCAAACACCTGACTCGACGCAGCTACCCGACCAGATGCAGTGACTGGAGGAGACTCAGTGGTCAGTGTGTACAGGCTCGGCCCCGGCTGACGTG